CAGCCAAGGACTTGATAACTTTGAAATCTAGTGGCTCTTCATACCTATTCCCTTGCGCATCCTGAAACACTGGATATGCCAAATGCAGCTCGGTTCTCACCGCTTTCCAAACCTCGGGGCAGAAGGAACGTCCTACTCTGCTTCCTCTTCCCTCCACATATGGAGGGGGGGCAGATGGCGTCACCCTACACTGAGAAGATCTGCAACAGTCTTCCTCCCCAGGTCTCTCCCTCTCCATTTTCTTTTCCCTTTTCCTTATTTTTGTCCTCTCAATCTGTTCTACGAGAGCTTGTAATTCTTCCTCAGAGTCCGTAGACTCTGAGTTTTCTAAATCGGTAAGGTCAGGTATAATTTTTGCTTTGACTCGCTACCATTCTCGCTATCTCCTTGCTCTGACCTTTCTTCCTGTAGCATTTCTAAAGCTGCCTGTCCATTCTCCACAGCCTCACTGCATCTCTGATCCTCAAGGAAGTTTCTCACTAGTTCAAGTCTTACTCCGCCTTTAAGTGTTCCCTCTTCTGCGGCAAAATCAAGATCTCTGTCTAACTCATCCCATGAAGAAATCGTAAGGCTCCCGGAGACTGAAAACCAAGGTGCAATGGCATCACATTCCCCCAGGAACCTCTCAAGAGTGCTTTTCTTAAGTTTTAGATTCTTAGAACGAAGTAGCTCATTCAGAGCCAAATTGTGTGCCCAGGGCCAAACTAGTGCAGTCTTTCCTTTTGTTTTACTTTCGGTTCGCTTCTCCACGAACTTTTCCCGCTCCCTCTTTATCTACACAGAGGAGCAATATACCTGCTTTTGTCATGGATTCCCACCTTACCTGGGAACTTACCAGTACACTGCCCTGACTGCAGAAAGTTCTGAGTCCTCAGATGACTGTCCCCATACAGGCCACCACTTGTCGCGTCCGCCTCAACCAGCAAGGGAAACGGAACACACGAACTCTTCTTTAAGCAGTTTATTCAGGAACCTTGAACAATCTTCTGACCCTGGGGAAAGCCAACCCACTGCTTATAAAGCCTAGGAGTAACCAACCCCAGCATGCCATGTGGTGATCTCAGATAGGTCCACATCTAGCAAGCCTAGATCTCGGCCTTAGCCAAATATGGAGTTGTTTATTACAGAGAGCACTCACCGTCGGGAGGGTGGAAGGCGGAAACCAGCGCCATCTTTAAGGCACAGCACGTCGTAGCTCTCTACAGGAATAAACCCAAAGGCCCATTGAGATAGCTCCTTTTTTTGTTCACCATAAAGAGGAATTAGACGGTAATGGGATAGTGGTATTAAATTCAGTTTCTCTGGCAACAGGACAATCATTCTTCTGATGAAACTCAACAGTGTCTTGTCTCTCAAGATTTTTCAGATGGAAACAGAAGGATACACTGAGAAATCCCAAAAGTCGTTAGTCATTTCCCAGTGTTTTACTTAGCTGTTCCTTCCTGCATATCTTGGGTAAAATGTCCATTAATGGGCATTACTGATGGAACATGGCAGTTTGCCAGATTTCTAAGGATGGAAGATGGATAATTCTATTTTCAATACTGAACATTGTCCAGGAAAGGCTTTATCCTACCTACTTATATATTCTGCAGACAGAAAAATAATTTCAGTCTTGAAATCGTTATTTACATAATGCTTGAGCAGTGCTTACATGTGCACCAAAAACAAGAAGGAAAATAAACAAACTTGGTGGCAGCAGAAATTAAAAATGGGTTAAAGATAGTGTCATGGAAAAGGAGGTAAGAGAGACTGAAGACAAGTTGCTTCCAGATGTTGCAAAGTATTACTTGGAAAGAAATTGGACATTGTAATGTGTTTGAGAACGAAAGACATATTGATTAATGAGATTGACTCCTTTGGTTTGACTCCAGGCTTAATTTATCTCGACATTGTCTGTGCTGTCTCTTCTGACTGTATCAGTGGCAAAAGACTGCCTTGGGGCATCTGGCGACCACTACGGTCTTTTGGGAAAGCTTTTGTAGTTCCATCAAACCAAGGAAAATGGTATGGATGTTTTTGATGGATTCTCTACCTTTAGCACCTGAAGAACTCATT